CCAGACCACCTGCTTGTGAAATGAGCAGCATCCTTACAGTAATCACCGCTATTTACACCAGCTGAGGATCTGACCAGAGCAGCAGATGAAAAGGGCAAGAGAAAACTCTAAGAATCTGAGAAGGAGCAGGAGCAAGTGGCCAGAGCAAACGTAAACTGAACTCATGAGAAACTGAACTAAATTACCTAATAGTGATGTCAGCGAAAATTCAAGATGTGCCTCTCTGACCTATTAAACAGATTGGAAGAAATAACGGATGCTTTTTATTCACAGTCTGATCTGGGGAGGGGAAGATTCTCGATTGTATCATCATGGATTGAGTGGTTTGATCCAAAGGCAAACATTTCATTTTCATGTATTTTTAAATAAATATTAATATATTATTAATTTTTGGCCATTTGAAAATTATCTTCAGTACGTAAAAGTAATTGTTAAATTCAGCAAAATCTGTGAATTTTATTCACTACTTTTCACACTTTCGGTGGTGTTATAATTTCCTGGGGTCAGCAAGCCAGACTTGAAAGTCTCACTTACATACACTGGGGACTGGCAAGAGAATGTCAGCTCATCAACCAGTGCAAACTAGTATTATTCAAATGACTCAAATGGAGCTACTCTGATTTATGGTCCTGAAGCTGGGGATAAGCAATGAATGCAGAAAGAAGTTAGCAGCTCTTCAGCCAGCCCAAGTGAGACCTCAGAGCTCCCTGGCATTGCCAGGGAGCAAAGGAAAATGCTTTTAGTCCTTTACCAGAGTGCAATGATCCATGCCTTCACCCAGGAAACATAAATCCTGTTACCTTTTTTCCTTTTCTGCTCACACCTTTTGAACAAAATCTCCTCTACTTCACAGATCTAAACACAGATTTTGAAGTAAGAATTTGAAATTAAAATACATAGATTGCCATTTATAAAATTACTCAGAGGCTGTCTCATTTCTGAATTTTTAAAAACTAACATAATCCCTGTTACTGACATAAACACATTGATAGTTCCAGGGCCTTATTTCAAAATTCACCTAAAATCTTGTCAGTATCAGAGTCCTGTACATGGTATTTGACTTCAGGGGTTTTCTCCCTCCTCTTCTTGAATCATCTGAAATATTTCCATGTGGCTATAAAAAGACTGCTTTTAAGAAGCAAGTCCTGAAATAAATGCCAACTAGTCATTAAAAGCCTAGGAATCAATTAGTTCTTCACTGAGTTCTTCACATTCTTCAAATACACATTGCTGTTATATCAAGATGAAGAATTATTAATCTTTGCATACTATAACAATTAGTGAAGAAAATCAAGGACAGAAGAAGTCAGCGCAAAAAAAAAAAAAAAAATGTGGATGAGCTGCTTCCAAAAAGTCATATTGGCAACAGCACTTTGCTAAAGGAAATGCTAAAGGGAAAAAAATCAGGCAAACTACAGGCTTGAAAAAAGATAAACAATGAAAAGAGAAATTTAAAAAAACAAGGATTTATTTTCTTAGTTGAAAATGTACAAAATGGATGTAGGGGTTAATTTCTTTCTCCCCAAAAAAGACAAGAACTCACAAGCTGCACCAACTATTAGATATTAAAAAGCTTGCAGATAATGACTTTCTACCAGAATGTAACACACAGTTGATTATGGGGAAGCCCAAAGACTGTATTTTCTCTCATAAACTAAAGGAGCAGGAGGCAAAGACTGTCAAAGCACTTGACGTTACCATAAATATCTAAGGTTAGTGGAAGGACATGAAAGGTAGTATTACTCTCCAAATTCAACAGTGGCAGATAAGAGAAGGGAGCTTTCTTGGCTGCTGGAAAAGATATGAAACATATTATAGCTATAAATTATTAGTATCATTATAGCAGCAGCAATATTGTTAATACAGAGTTACCTCCAGGAGACTAAGACCAAGGCTTTATTATGGCATGTGTTAACAAGTCTAATGGTAAAAAGACTGTAGTCTAGGAGAACCACGTATTGAATAAATATCACCAAAATAATCTAAATTACCTTGGGATTCAGATAAAACTTACAATTTAGAGAGACTGGACACTGGATTGTTTTATAAGGCAAATCAATACATTTGTCATTACTCATATTCTCTGTATCCCAAAGTGGGGATAGATGCAAAAATACCGCTTGGGCATCACATTTGTACTACAAGTCTGGCAAAACTGTAATCCTTGACTTCACTGTAAAACTTCCACCTCTCTTCTCAAGTACCTGTGAGCACCGCACCTTCTTCAAGACTTTACTCTCACCTTCTGCTCCAGTCCACATCTAGGACATCCAAAATATAGACTAATTAGACACAAACTACTCCTGATTCTGTGTTTGTAAGAGATAACAGTCATTTTCTGTCATACTATAACTGCTTTTCATCAGGCATGCCATGGATTACTGCATACTGTGACAGAAGTCAAAATGTTGATAGTTTGATTTTATGTGCATGCAGAATTATATATTCACAGCCTTTTTTCAGAGATTCTGCATACACAGCTAAGACATTTCTCCATGCATGCCTCTGGTGATTTTTTTCTTCTAAATGAGTACGTCTATGATTAAATTATAATAGTTTTCTACTTAGCATTCTTAATGTTTAGACTGATTGATAGAAGAATATATTTTACTCCCATTACTTGAAAAAGCTCTCTTACTGAAAGTAAACAGTGATTAAAGAAACCATAAACATTGCTTCATTCTGAATTAAAGCTATTTCAGCTACTTCTTTCGTAGAAACTAAAGAAAGAAGTGAGGCAGATGGGGCGCTGTTTCTGCATAAAATCTGCTCATGGCACAAATAATTTTTAAGTGTCTTCATATTTTAATAAGAAGTATCACAATTATCAGAATAGGTCTGGATCTCAGACCTGTTTTACTATCCCACTCACTTCATTGCCAGTATGAATAAAAGACACCAGACAGAAACTGAAAAGCTCAAACCACAATTAAGTTGCAATTACTTACTATGAAAGGCTGTCTTATTATAATATTTTTTATTCTAGATCCTGCTTGATTATTGCAGAAGACAGCCAGGCTCTTAAGCACATTTCAAACAAAAAATAGAGATCCGGATAGAAAAGCCCCCACTGTCCTTGCCAAGCAGAATTAGGGGAGGATAGTATTAGTAGATGTTTATGTAGACTGTCTCTTAGGACATGATCTTACTCTTCTTGAAACTGTGCTAGTTTCATCAGTAACAGGACTGTGCTCCAATTTTTCATGCTGGATTTTGTTTCTGTGATTCTCTTCTTCCCATCCCTAGTTGGGAAATATGTAAACCATATAAAAAGATGAGATTTTGCTACACTAGATAACATGCTGATCAATCATATAATCTGCTGTCTGAGCCACCCCACCCTTTCGTCCCCTCATTCTGCAATCACAAAAAGAAAACCATCAGACTGTTTGTATATCATTGGTCACAACGACAGGCAACACATTTCTCAGTTCACTCCCCTCTTTGAACATAATAAGGTCTACACAAGGTTTTTGCACCTAACTTGACCATATATATTCAACTCTCAAGAAAAAACCCCTAAAACTAGCACTGGTTTCTGTTGTGCAGCGTAAGAACAGACGTGCCCACAGCTTCTTGGAAATTTTCCTCCTGGGTTGGCAAAGGAGCACGCCACAACTGCCTGGGGACACCTTTAGTGATGTCTCTTTAATACATGGCTGTTGCTCTTAAAATGTACTATGGCAGCGACTTGTAGTCCTCAGGATTCAAGGCGTTTCCTGAGCTAGGCACCATATGTTTATGCAAAACCCTTCTGTGAAAGCTGCTATAATGTCAACTGGCAGGATAGGAAAAAAACTGGAAAAGGAGCACAAAAAGCAGATCACTGCAACAATGCTAAGTGATAGGAGAATATATAGAAAGCAAGTCACTGCATATTCACATCCATTACTGTTTGCCAGTAGGTATGAGAAAAAAAAGAAAATTTTTAATTAGACTGAAGTTAAAAAAATCAGAATGCCTTTGGGCACAAAGTATTTTCACTGATCCTCTCTTTGCTGTGGCCAATTCCTATTGGTGAGGTTTAGAAGTGAATTTTTTATGCCAGACTGGGGAGAGCAGGAAGGACAGATGAAATACACTCTCCAGACCACTGGGACCAGTGCTTGTCTGCTGAAAGTGAAAACCTTGAGGAAAATGGAAAAGGTCTACAACACTCCTCACTTAAACAACAGGTTTCCTTACTGCATGCCAATGAGATGTTAGGGCTGGACCCCTTTTTTTAAAGAAGTCTATAAGTAGAATCACACCTACTTTATCACAAATACTTCATAGCAGTAATTAACACACATATATTGCAAAGCTCTTCTAGCAGCTGTGATGCTGCTGTTCTGTAAAGATGCTTACAAAAGACATCGCATTGCTCCCTGCCTTAAAAGCTGCTAATAAAAGCAGACATTAAATTCCTAAGTGCATTCAGAGCACGTGGGGGAGCAAAATCAATGCTTGGTCAAACAGATCAAGGAAAACAACTCCTTGGCAAAGTAACTGTGATTTTCAGACCCCTATGTGCCCTGTTCAAATGCTACTAAAGTCAACACAAAAACTCCCACGGGCTTTTGATAAAATCAAAAAACAAGGAAAAAATGAAATACAAACCCCAAACCTTGACCAAAGCATATTGAAAATGCAAGCAATATACACCTCATATTCTCTGGACACAGTGTTTTAGTATGAGAATCAGATGAAGGTACACAAGGTCCCTTTAAATTGGTGTATGTATTAGTGAGAGAATTTTACCAACCATCAAGATTTGAAAAGAAATGTCACTTCTGTTTAATGTTGTCTGAAAGAGCTATAGCTTCTTATATTTAAACATCAAAGGAGTTTAACATATCCCAGCAAAACTATTAATCTTTAAAGGCAGAATAAAGCTAGTATTATTCAACACAATGAGAGATTGAAGATTTCTCTTCATTATCTTAGACATTATCAGTAGTTTCTGTCCATTCAGAGGTAGCAGCACATGCTTAAAATATTGAAAAAAAATTGCATTCCAGCAGCGGCAACAGTATGAATGTAATTGACTTCTGACTTTGATTCTTTTGAAGGAAAAAGGCTGAAAAATGGGTCTGTATTTATGGCAAAATCAGTGCAAAATAGTTGGAGAAAGAAAGAAAGGAAGCAAAAATGCTAAAACTTTTCTTCCAAAGTGTCATCTGAACTTGAATATAAAGATTCAGCTATTATTTATAAAGTTGTGTCTTCAATAGACCTTTTCATAAACCCATAAATGAACACATACTCCAGCACTGATCATCAATAACTTCTATTTCACCACTTTTTGATTTTTGTAAAAGGTTTACCACTAGAAAGTGATTTTTAAAAACATATATTAATCTCTGCATTTCTTTAAAAAACTTCCCAAGTTTTCTTTAAAAACATTCATAAAATACAGACAATGAAATTAAAGATAAGGGAAGCAGTGGACAGAACTGATACAAAAAAATTACTGATCTTGTGTAAGCATTATACACTATGTAAGAGAAAGGACTTTCTTCTCTTCAGGATACATTTTTTTTAATGCAATATTCATTCATTTCTTCTAGAGAGAAACCATAGGCAATGCTATTTTATTCTTCTTAACTCCATGACAAAAATGTGAAAATCTTATGCATCCCGTTGTCTTACACGTATTTGCATTCTGCAACTGCATTCAAATTAGTCAGAGTATTTTTCTTATAAAAATCTGTCTCTTCTGCAACATTTTTGATGACATTTTCTACATCTGGATACTGCAATTTTGCTAGAGAAAGAGACTCAAACTGACTAGGGACCCCTAGATCCTGGTTGCACTCTTTCCCACATGGTTTGCTTCAGCAAAATCCTTGCAGAATACGAAATTTCCGGAAATAAAAGTTAACAATTGGGATTTAAAATAATTTGCGTGACAATCTACAAAATTTATGGAGCACTAACAAATAAAAGTTAACAATTGGGATTTAAAATAATTTGTGTGACAATCTACAAAATTTATGGAGCACTAACAAAAATAATTCTCCAAAAAGAAATAATTTCTGCAGAGAACAATCAAGTAGGAAAAAAACTCAGAGCAGTATTAAGTTGTTTAACTGGGTTTTATAAGCATCACTGATGCAAAAACTGGTGAAAACTACTGTGAAGAGGAAACTGGATGGGGAAGAAGCGAAAATGAGACTTACTGTTCACGTCTCATAGTTGTTCTTAAAGGTGCTAACACACACTACTAGTAATACCTAGACAGATCTTGGGAAACACAAGACTATCCTTATTCAGAAAGTCCATTGCTGAAGATGGAATAATATAGCATGAGGAAAAGAAGTAAAATTTGGGATCCCCCATTCTCAAACCTCACTGACGAAGTGTTTTCAGAGCAGTTTTGTGGTAACAGGCAGCAGTTAGCTACCTAATAAATGAATACTCAATCACTATCTATATCCATGATCTACAGGTCATAATCACGATGTCATTAAAAAAAGGAAAATGGGGATAAGGGATAAATATTGATATATATCCAATAATCAACAAATACATTATTGTCAGACAAACAGTTGACAGGTAATAAAACTGAAAGATAGCATCATAAACATAGGCTCTAGTTCATAGCCAAAATACATGAGGTTGGAAACAATGGTTCTGCAAACAGCAGAACACATGAAGATTGGTTACCTACTCTCTCTTTTTTTGCTCAACTTCTCAGCTGAATTATGCTGAGATATTCCGCTATCTCTGCCTTTCTTCTTATAAATCTTATCTCATAGCATCTGGCAACATCCCAAAGATCACTGCAGCAAAGAAGTCTCAGAGATGTTATGACCACAGCGTTTCACTGACCTCTTCAAGACCATGCAGTAAAACATTGGCAGAATGGGTAGAACAACCTAACACGATCAGCAAGCACCTGACCTTCAAGAGCTCTGGTGAGCATTTTCCAAGGCCATCCCCACTCTCAGTTTCAGACTGAATGTCTTAATAAGAGGGATCAAAGAGATCTAACCAGGCAATGCCAAAACTGCCTTTCTTAAACCTTAAATGTGAAGATCAGAGATCAGCAGATAACTGACAAAATGTGTATATGTATATATACATGTATGTATACACATATTTTTGGGGTAACCAATACTTGCACGTAGGAAAGAGATATGGCCCTTTGGCTACTTGGCTTCTTTGGGTACTACACTACCAAAAAATATTAATAACTTAACACAGAGGTGTCTTCCAGCTTGATTTCTTCTAGATGACTCCAAGGATAAGGAGCAAAACTAATTAAAATGACATCAAAAAAGTAATGGAATTCTTTCTCCACCAAATTTAGGCATGAATTTAATTCTCCAAACACTATGTCAATGCTGCACTCTGACAAAGATGTAACCAGATCTGAGGGGCTGTACATGGTATTTAAAGTATCTTTCAAAGCAGTAAAATAATGTATGGGAAAGGAATTCAGAGAAAGGAGTTCTCAACTGCACTAATTTCTAACGCTGTCTTTTCCCAAAAGTTTTTATATAACAAAACAGTTAACATCTTTTCTTCAATTTCATCCAGTGTGACAGCACATTTATGTGTTTGACAGGTATTAGAATCATTACTTGTCATCATTCATTATGGAACCCAACCACTTCTCCTACACTCTACTTTGAAAGTACACACATACCAAAAAAAGCAGAAAAACAGATCAGCAATTATATCAATTTATTCCACTTTGAATCCTAAGCATTGGAAGGAGCACATTTGCCAATGCTCATTCAGTTGATGGAAAAGGTCGATGTGTACAGAAGGAGCAGTTGCTAACAAAATATTGTCTAATCTTTCTGTATAGGTAGTTTTAATGTATCCTTCGTATGGAACTTACATTTAGAAAAATGGAATGTTCAACTTAGCAAAACAAGGCAATTGGAATATTAGATAAAGAAAGGAGGGCTGGAATAAACAATCTAACAGTTTTGGTGTAAACATTGCAAAGTTTTGTGCAATCTAGACAATTACTTATAACAGTAGTAGTAGCAGCAGATGTGCAATAAAGATGTTCATTAGTATGAGGGGAGGGGTTTTTTTGAGTCTTTTTGTGAGGGCTTTTTTTTTCTCCAAACTGTCCATTTTACATAAATAAAGTAAAAATTGCCAATTTAGAAGACAGATATGTACAGTTCAGTTATAGGGGAGAGAGTTTTCTGTGACCCTATAAAAAAAATTCCGGTGACCTCACAGGGTTTTTTCATTTGCAGCAACACCTTGTGATTACAACGTGTGTCAGAGGAAACTTCTGTGGGACCCAGCAGCTGCTCCTCAATATTCTGAAGACATTCAGATCACAATTAGTCAGAAATATAGCATGGAAAATATTTTTACTTTAAACTGATGTTTTCATAAGTTCATATTCACTAAGCAGCATTTTTGACCTTGAGAGGCAGGTATTCATAGAGACTAAGATGAAGGGAGTTCCTGTATTTTGCCAAAGGGATCTGAAGTCCCTCAACAGCACTTGGTGAAACCACTCATGCCTCTGAAGCTGCATATGAACCTAAAAGCCTGGAAGAAGACAAGTGTCACTGTATTCTATTTGTTTTCTAACAGGCACGAGAAATATATGCAAAATTTACTCTCTCCCCTCTCAGGATTATTTGTCCTAGCAGAGATAAAGTTGTGTGCATCTGGTTGTCAAAAATTAAGTAACAGGCTATACTGTAATTATAGCTCATGCCCTGCAGAAGAGCTGTGCCCAAAGAAGGGGATTTGGTTTTCTGCTTTCAGGAGCAAATATGACCTTTGAGGAAGGCTTGCTTTGTTCCAAAAGTAGGACTCTAATAAAAATTACTTTAAATTTTATTACTCATGTAAGTCCTTTAGAAATGCCTTAAAACCAAACATATGACAAACATTTTTTTCAAAAGGCCAAGCTCATGATTTTCGGGGGCCAGAGTCTGAAACTCCTTGTTTGCCTCCTTTCCCTCATTCAAGAGTAAATTGCAGAGTCAACAGTGTGCCAAGTTGACAGAGTACCAAGGTCCTTACCAAAGCAGCAGACACAAGCCTTGTAGAAGTGTCCCATTTCTGAGGACTGAAAATATGAATATTCTGCAATACTAAACAAGAAGAAAATTGAGCAAACCACCAAACCTGACATTACAATTCTCACATACTTCTCTGTGTAATTTTTCACATAATACAGCAGCAGCCGTTAAGAAACTGTTACTTCCAGGCAGTGAGACATCAAAGCTTTGCTGAACACTACAAACCTGGGATAATTAATTTCAATTAATAGCTGACAAATGCTGAGCTTTGCTTTATCCAGTAAAGTCAGAAACATATGACAAAAGATGTACTGATTCAGAGAAAAAGAAATAGGTAGTCCCTTCCATCTCATTCAGCGGGGTTTTATCACCATATTTCTGGCCCAAATTGATGGCGGCACCTTTTCACTCCACGTTCTATATTTATTATGCCATGCATAAGCTGTATCCGTTCTCTCACAGCCAGATGTGTAGCTGAGATGCAGCCTAAGCTGTTATCTCTACCTGTATCATGTAGACTTGTGAACTGTTCACATCCATCCTGAAACCTCCTGCAGACATGGTTTTTCCAGGCCTGTGCCTTTGACCACATCATCTCATCTATACAGCACTTACTGACCAACTCTACTCTGCCATATCAAATTTATGGTACTTGTCCCGCCTTCTAAAGCCTGTATAATTCATCATGGCTCACTCACAACTTCTAATGTGCTTCAAAATGTTGATGCCTGAACTATGACCTATGATCTGCAACTCTTGACCACCATACTTAGTCTGCTATCTAGCTTACAAAGATGCACCTCCCCATCAGCCCCTGAAGAACTCATTTATGCTTCTTAAACTTTTCTGCATATAATGTCCATAGAAACTTTATAAAGTTTGTAAAGAGTGACCAGGTCAGACCAACTGTTGGTTATTACGCTAATTTGTTTTAGAATCATGTAAATTTAACCTGACACTGTGTTGGATTCCATCTGGACAGAATAACTTCCTCTTCTTTTTTCTTTCTCACAGCATAAGG